CAGAAATGGTGGCCAGGTTTCTCTGCTTTCGGTTTTTCTCTTTGGAAGGAGGAGAGTGTGAGAGTGCAGGAAGCCCAAGGAGGCCCCGAATCGCATCACAAGGAGGCCGGGGTGAGTGTGGGGCACAGCGGCCCTGCCTCCAGGTCGCCCCCGCAGCACTTGGAGCACAGTCCAGGCCTGAGGGGTCAAGGTAGTTTTCTCTCTCAGTGGTGGGTGAAGGCTGGCAACACATAATCTCCCAAAAGGTACACACAGAAGCAAATGGTTCCTGAAAGAAATTTAGTGCTTTGGTGAAAAATGTAAACCAAGTAAGACCCAGTGACAGGGAAACACCTCAGCTGGTAGGAGCTGGGGACTCTGGCAGGCTGGCCATGCAGCGTGGGCAGCCCCCGGATGGACGACACAGGCCTGATGCTGCCTCTGTTTCTATCCTAGGCAGGCTGTGTGGCTATGGTTTGTTTTGAAGGCAGGCAGGGACACACCTAGGCCAAAGTAGACAGCAGTTGCCATTTGTGGTGGCGGGACCGGCTTTGCCTTGTTGCCCAGAATTGCCTTGGCTAGTCTAGGTCTCTTCTGGTTCCAAATGAATTATAGGGATGTTATTTTCTGATTCTGTGCGACATGCTGTTGGAATTTAGGTTGAGTGTATTAAACCTGCGCACAGCTGGGAAGTAGGTCATTTTCACAACATGGGCTCTTCTGCCCAGGAACAAGGGCATCTTCGCACTTTCTGATACTGCATGAGTCTCCTTTCTCGGGGTACTGCAGTTTTCAACATAGCGGCTTTTTGTTCCCTGCTCTATTCCTCAGTATTTCATCTTTTTGGATGCTGTTGTGAAAAATGCTTCTCTAATTTCTCTCTCAATGAGTTTGTTATTCATGTATAGGAAGGCTACTGAGTTTTGACTTTCTATAAAGACCCAGTCTAGAAATGGACATCTGAAATGAATCGAGGCTTCTCAGATGAAAAAATAAAATGGCAAATACATATATGAAAAAACTTCAGCATTGTTGGTCATTCATAAACTGTAGATTAAAACAACACTGAGTTTCCATCCAACCCTGGAAAGAGCGGCTACCACCCAGAAGGGACAAACGCTAGAGGGGCTGAAGGGAAAGAGCCCTCCTCCATTGTTGGAGGGAGTGTAGGCTGCTGCAGCCTCGGTGGGAATCAGAGAGGGGAATCTTCAAAAAGCTCGGATTAGGGGTCCAGTTGAGCAGGTACTGGCTTTCTAGGCATCTTCCTGAACAATTAAAGGCATCATACTGCAGCATTATATGCCCAGCCATGTTTATAGCAGCACGGTTTATAATATCCAAATCTTGCCAGGGAGACAGCTCAGCAGCATAAGCACCTACCTGACAAGCACAAGGTCCCAAGTTTGATCCCTGGCATCATAAAAATAAACACATAAATAAATAAATCAAAATAGTACTACCCAAATCCTGGAAATAGCCCATCAACTGATGAATAAAGAGCATTTTATACAATGGAATACTACTCTGCTGTGAAGAAGAATAAGTCTGACATATTTCTAGGTAAACGGATGCACCTTGAGACTAGACTCTTAAGTGAAATAAATCAGACACATGAGTGTAAATATTGCATTGTGAGACCAAAAAGTGTAAATGAGGACCAAAATACATAATAGGTATTGTGAAATAAGAGGACAATGTTCAAGTGGAAAGAGGAACGATGGAGGGGGGAGGGAGAAAGAAAAGGTTTCAGAAAGAGAAAAGGAGAAAACGGAAACAGTGTAAATGGGGGGAGGGTTGAAAGGAGAGGAGGGAAGTGGGGACAAAAGGAGCGCTAAGACACGCGCTCGGGTGCAGGTTCTCTACGGTGGTGTGATCCTGGCACACACCGAGTGACACGAGCCAGCGGAGCTGGATGGGAAGCTAGAAAGAAAAAGGAAGGAAGGAAGGAGGGAGGGAGGAAGGAAGGAAGGAAGGAAG